AAAAAAAAAAATTATTAATTAATTAAAATTAAAATTATTAAAAAAAAATTGTTTTTAGAATAGCTTACCTGAGTTCAAAGCCCGATTTTTTTGAAATTGCACAAATTTTAATGCCATTGGCCAGTCTTTTGATTTATTATCAGCCATCCAAGAAGCCAAAATTTCTTCAACGTCCCTATTCGCGCGTTCAATTGATCCTTGGGTCTGGCTATGACGAGGCTTGCCATGCACAATTTTGACGTCTCCCCACATTTCATTTAAATTTGTTATAATAGAATTTACAAACTCACGACCATTATCCGAGTGGAGTATAGCGGGTGCACCAAATATTGTATAAATATCTATTAGATTTAAAGCGATTTCTTCGGCCCTTTTTGTCTTCAAAGGTTTTAAAATAACAAATTTTGTTAAATGATCTTGATAATTCATTATATAGCGATAATTATTATAATTTTGAGATTGCATGTCAATCAAATCAATTTGCGCCCTTGAATTAAATGCGGAATGTAAAATTGGTTTTGTCACAAGCCCTCTTTTCGGATTTGATTGTTTTACTTGACAATTACTGCATAAACCTAAATATGCCATAACTGCCTCCGTTGTCACATTACAATATTTTGTTTTTAACACAGCCATCATCCTATTTCTACCACCATGACCTACTGCTAAATGTGCTGTATGGATGACTTCAAACAACTCGTCTACTGTGACGTAATATAAAACGTCAGATTCATTATCAACTATAGGCTTAATCAATTTTTCTTTTCCCCCAATTGACACAACATCATATTTACGTATAAGTCTATTATTCGTTACCGTTTTTTTAAGTGTTCCAATTTTTAATTCTTTTATTTTTTGGATTTTGTTGTTGTACTCTTCAGAACTAAAATAAAATATGTTGTCGTCTCTCTTTTTACTGCTAATAATTTTGTCGATTTCTGCTCTAAATTTGTTCTCCATAATTATTAAATAAAACTAACACTATAATTGAATCTAACTCTTATTACACTTTGTTCACTGGTGACACAAATTTTTACAAATAATATTATAAAACACACACTCGTCGCATATACAACTCGCTATAATATTCCCGTAGATACTAACTAATAAACTAATAGATTATCTCATATTATTACTCGGGTTATCGACGTTATTGCTTGTTGGGATTTTCGTTTATTTATCTACTTCCGTCATGATATTTTTAACTAACGAAGCTTATTTGGCACCTACACGCTTATCGCTGTTCGTTCACACCGACATAAAAGTATTGAACATCATTCTCCAACTAAACTGGTGATTGACGACAATAACAAGGGGAATGTCTGCATTTACAACATTTACCAATTTTTAGGTAAATGATGTAATTTACCGGGGAATGACGTCTTTTACCACGTTTACATCTTTCACCGTAACATATACATTGAAAAAGATAAAACTAAATCGTGGTCATGCGTACTGTATATGAAGCTCTGTATTATAAGTCTATTATACAATATGGTTTGATAATCTGGGGAGGATGTGCGGAAAATGCAATTAGACCTCTAATAGTACAACAGAACACAGTGGTAAGAATATGTTTAGACAAAAAAGAGAGACAAGGCTCATCTTCACTTAATTATAAAACTATGTATAACTCTGTGCCTTTAAATATTTGAAAAAATATTTTTGATCATTATACTTCAAAATCTAATAATATTAAGTTCATTAAAATAATTGTTAAAAATTGGTTATTAAGTGAATTCGTGTAAATGAAAACTTTATTTTAATATAATATCTGTAAAACTTATTTTTAGTTACATATGTCAACCCGCCACAATCTTTGCTTATTGGGTTAAATTAATCAAACTGTAATAAATATATTTATTTTAATAAATAAAATAAAAAAATGATCGAGGAAAAAAATAATTATAACACAATTATAGTAAACATTGCCATTAAAATAACACGAAAAACAATATTGTTCCAATCGTTATCATTAGCTCTATTACTTAAATTTTTTTCTTTTTATTTAAAAATACGTTTCAACTACCAAGATTATTGGCGTTTCTGAAACATATACTTTAATTTGTTTGAAGTTATTATTATTTTTTTACAAAACAAAAGGGCCTATAATAAGATAATACATGAGGTAAAAAAAGTTTTAAGATAATGTAGTCAAATGTGATAAATTAAGTATTCATGTTATATTTTTGAGAAATTCTAGAATTGACGATGTTCCCTCTGTGTTTGGTGCTAGTATTTCACAAAGATTGTTTTGTGGCATTCAGATAACAGGTGTTTTCAACACAGCCGTTGATGTGACCTAGTTTAATAATATTCACATGAGTAGTGATATATTTATGAATATTGACGTTTCGAGGTCACGCGCAATAGGCGCTTCGTTGGCCTCCTTCAACATATTGTGTTTCCCCTGTATATTTATAACTACTTTAGTGATTTACTAATAATATTTAAACATAGTCACAGCTCGCTACACAACCATGTAAACAACCTAAGTTGTTGGCGGGGATCAGGTCATACCTGTCTGCACGACTGCACCTGTAGATTACGGTAATGAGTAATAACTAATATAACGCAAAAGTGACATTATAATATATGGATCGTTACTGAAGTTGTTGATTGATTTAATGATGAATAGCGACAGCCGCACGTACGTTTCCCCAGCCCACCCACATTGTATTTTTGCAATTTTTTTTTGGCCATTATTTAGTACGGATTTGTATGAATTTGTACGATAAGCCCCGCAATTTGTACGAATTTGTTTTTTAAATTATACTAGAATTTGTGTGGGGGGCTGTAGAAACGTTTCTCCAGCCCACCCATATTAAAAACTACATATTTAGGTATGAATTCTATACAGTTATTTAGTACGGAATTTGTATGAATTTGTACAACTGTTTGCGAAAATTTTCAAAAATCCCTTACACCCCAAAAATCAATTTTCCTCAAATACTGTTTCCCCAGCCCAACCCAACAAACTAAAAATACGTTTCCTCTCAAAATTCCTTTGCAGTTATTTAGTACGGAATTTGTATCCTAACCATGCAGTGTTGGCCTAAACTGTTTGTTTAACATACGACACAACTGTATAATTGTATCTTTTAGTGGTAATAACTAATAAGTAATAATAATAACTAACTATGAACAATATAATTATATTTAAGAAGACGTCGCACTCACATATTATGTTTTCTCCGTCTTACACGCGTACGACGTGGCAAATTGGACGCTCAGCAGAACACGTGTTGCTCCGTTAGTTAAAAAATTAGAGTGAATTTAACCCTTATAAAATCTAAAAGTAAGATTATTATCTAGACAACCTCATCGGATTTTTGTTATATTTTAATTTTAAAGTGAGTTATGAGCATTTTAATATTGTAAATTGTTTGTACTTCTTAAGTAGCTCGATACAATATTCAACTATAGGTAAGTGAAATTTATTAAAATCGTAAATCAGGGACGGAAAACGGGTTAAGCAAAACTGGAACGGACCTAATAAAACAAGATGACGGTTGACAACGTAGTAATAAAAACAAAAAAAAAATTGATTTGAATCAACAATTTGAATATAACATTATAACTTATACATTTTATGTTAGCAATAAGTACCTTCAATATTATTAATTTCTAGTGCTGTATAAATAGTACTAAATACTAAATAGTCCTATTGGCTAGGTACAATATGTCTATGAAGATTATTGTTGCCTATATAATTTATTTTAATAAAAACTAAAAAGACTAAAGTTACAACTATTTAGTATTATCCTGATGTTATAAGTTATTTCAAGTCTAATATAGTCGTTATTGATTAGTAAATATTAAATTTAAGATGTTTCTTGGTGTTTAAAATATTTGTATGCAAAGTTAACTGTTAAGTAAGAATGAATTAAAATGAAAACCTGTTTTAAAACCAGAACCACAAAAAAAATTTGGTCACAATCATTATATAATTAATAAAACATAGTAGGTACTATATTTGATATATAAACAATAAATACATAATATTGTGAAATGTTTTGATTAATTAACAGCCATTTTTCATGAAGTGCATTCAAATATTAAGCTGTCAGCTTTTTAGACAAGTGAAACCTAATTTATAATTTATATATTTTATTATAAACCTGCAGTATTTATATATTTTAAACTATTAAATTATTAATTAAATTTAAAAATTATAAAATGTAGTATGAAAAGAAAATGTATTACACTATTTAAAAAATATTAAATACAATTATAAGATTCCATTAAAAAGCGATTATAATGCGGAAATACTTTCTCAATCAAAGCATAAATAACTAAGACAAAACTTAAGAAGAAACCACACCCGCATTTGTTGTGTCTCTCTAACAAAAGAACAACATGGGAAATCGTACGTTCACATTGAGTAATTAAAATCGATATAATAATTTCTAAAATAAGGGTAAAATTAACTCTTATATAATTTAAAGGCTTTTATTATATTTTTATATTAAAGCAAGTTATGAATATTTTGAGATGTACAAATAATTTAAATTTTAAAGTACTTAAATGCGTTTTTCAAGAGTGGATGGGCGGACTGGGGAAACAGTATATGAGAAAAATTGATTTTTCGGGTTTTTAGAGATTTTTGAAAATTTTCGCAAACAGTCGTACAAATTCATACAAATTCCGTACTAAATAACTATAGAATTCATACCTAAATATGTAGTTTTTAATATGGGTGGGCTGGAGAAACGTTTCTACAGCCCCACACACAAATTCTAGTATAACTTAAAAAACAAATTCGTACAAATTGCGGGGCTTATCGTACAAATTCATACAAATTCCGTACTAAATAATGGCAAAAAAAAAATTGCAAAAATACTATGTGGGTGGGCTGGGGAAACGTACGTTAATCGATAACCAGTAGAGCTAGATAACGGATTTTGTTGATGCCATGCATTCAATCGTACCCACTACGGTTTTTTTTATGGTATACATAGCTATTTTGTCGCATTAAGTTCGTCATGTCATGTTCTTAATTTAAATAATATTGTTATATTTTACTATATAATAAAACATATTAAAAATGTATACTCTAAACCCCCTCTAAATATTTTTCTGGCAACGGCCTTGCATATATTGTGTAGCAACAAATAAACAAAAAATTATTTTATATTTTTATGATTATTATTTATTTGTATTTGATTTTAGTGAAGTTATGTAAGATGCTATTGATTTGCCCAACTGCCCAAGTGAGGTTTAAATGTATAATTTTTTCAATTCTTTATTTTAATTATTAGAGTACCTGATATTATTATTTTTTTATTAGTATTCAATTATATTTGTACAATAATATTTATTTTATGATAATTTTTTTTTTAATATTAGCGAACGTATTAAGACATTACGGTTTTGCACTTATGATAAAAGTCAGTATACGGTTTTGACCAAATGAGTAGGTTGGTCTTAAATAAGTTTGCCCGGTTAAAAGCCGAAATATGATATTTTACCAAGGATTGTTGGCAGTTCGAGTTTTGCCCGGGCATTTTTGAGGTTTGCCCGTAAAATATGCATGCGGAATATGGCGGCATATGTATGGTCCTATGGAGGGATGTCTAATACCAAAAAATTACCATTCGTCTAATATAATATATTTTAAAGTGAGCTGACTGGCGCGTCGTATAGACAATTTCGGTACATAAGCATATACATAGCATTCGAACGGTATTCCGCGGTTGAGGGCCGATGTTTGGGAGGGGGTGGCAAAGAGGGGTGTTTGTCCAGGGCCTCGCACTCTGCATATATTTTTTAGATTTCTTAGTAAAAAACTGCTCAAGTGGAACCTTGTTTTAAATTTTCAATTCTTATAGCTATACAAGTTGAACATTTTATACATTTATAACTATAAATCATTTTCAATTTTTAACTTGATAAATGTTACGACACATCGTAATAGTATCGTCCGCGTCGCAGCGATCAAAGGTTCTTGACTGAACCCCCGCAAGCTCCGCGTGCCCGTGCAGAAATCGGTGTTATCTGTTTTCCTCTCCTTGCATGCGCCATTATAATTATTATTCCTATCTATTGTTTCTCTCCATTATCATTATGTAAAATATTAATTATTATGTTCAATTCCACTTGTTGTTATTGCCGTATCATTCGGATTTTTTTTGTCGTACCTGTTGTTCACTTGTCTTGTCGTATATTATATACACGAGACCCAATATATATTATTCTGTATCGTTAATTACACGCAATAAAATCTCTGTTCACGCCATTGCGGCAAACTTCAAATCACCTGCAGTTGTCTGTTTTTAAAATCATCGCCCGTCGTTGACATTGCGTCAACGTCCAACTTCGACGTCTTGGCACACTTCGTGCTTGTCATTTTCAACCGCAGTCGATCGAGTGAGTACACGGAGATAATATAAT